TAGTATTGGCACAGGAATAGATAAATTTATCTACGGAACATATCAGGGAGTTCAGAAACAGAGACACAAATATGTCTCCAGACACTGGCAAATGTTCCCTGGGGTGCAAAAATCACTCCTGCATCCCTGAGAGTGCAATGGTGACTCCTTTGCGTCCAGGGGGGGGGGGGGGGGGGCGATGCGATGCAAAGCCATTCCTGATTGAGAATCCCTGGCAAAGGAATATGAGTTGATCTTTAAAACATCCTGAATTATTTAAAGGTAAGTTGCAGAATACCAAGTACATGAGTTAAAACTGCATGCACACAAAATATTTCAGGTCCGAAGGGAGACTTCTCTGAGAAACAAGCTTTTGGGAGCATAAAGCCAGATCTCACTTCAAAATTTCCCGACAGGCCTAGAACAGTACGCAGACGCTGCGGGGAGGCGAAGGGGTCATGACCACAGCGCGCGAGCGTCAGGGGATCTCGATGCTCATTGGTCACCAGCCACAGGGGCGAAGGTGGCGCTGAAGCTCATTGGTCTTTGTGGCAAGGGCGGGAAAGGCAGCAGAAGCTGTGTCTTCCCCTCAGACCTCCGGTCCCAACTAGCTGATCCTGACGTGCTGGAGGCTGGGGTAACCACAGACTGACATCAGGAATAAGACCCTCGTTCTCCGTATCTCTCATTTCCTCCCACCCTTGTGCTCCAGATCCCCAACTCCTTCACGTCTCCTCCACCCAAGTAGGGTACTCCCACCCATTCCCAACATCCCATTCCTCCCCTACCTCTGGTGGAACCCTTCGGGAGGGCCCCTTGCCCCAACTCCCTGAGCCCTGGCCTCTGGTCACTGGAGCAGGACTCCTGCGCCTGTTTTTGATTCCGAGGTGCGGGCGTGAGTGAATGATTGGGTTTCCTCAGGAAGTGGTAGAGTCTGGGTTGGCGGGACACTGTGTGTGGGGCTGGAGCGCGCGCGCGGGGGGGGGGTTATGGGGGGAGGAGAGATGGTGTGTTCAAACGCAATTCTCGAAGTGTGGCTGGGACGAGAAGTATGGAATGTCGTTGGGAGGCTGTGGAGGGATTGCATGGGTTTACATGAAAGCAGAGAGAGTGTGTTGGTCCAAGAGAAAAATTACTGCACCGAGGAGTTGCCCACTGGTTAGATCAGAGCTTGACATTTCATAGGGGGCTCAATGAATACCTGCGGAATAAAGAATCAAGGGAATGAATGAAGGGTTGAATGCAAATAATACTCGAAAGAGGGCCAGGGATACAGGAGAGCAGTACAATTTCATGGGGTACAAGAGGGAAATCCGCTTAAAGGGAGAGGAAGGAAACCATTAAGTTGAAGGTGGGGTGCAAGGAAAAAAAACAGAATGAAATGTGGGGGGGGGAGTTGAATATAGAGTGTAGAAGAGACTAGGGATGGAATTGAATGCAGGGGGCAAGAGAATTGTTGAAGTGGATGCCAGGTATGATAATAGTTGGGTTTGGCAGAGTACAGGATAACAAATAAAGAAGGGAGTGTAGTCATCATTGAAAGGGGCACAGGCGTGCACGTCTGTGCCTGAAAATGGGGTCTGTGGTGGAGTGAAGGTACACAGGAGGATAATGATAGGATGGAGTGAGTACTGGACGCATGCCAAGAATTTCTTGGGAGGAGGCTATGCATGAGTGGGGCTTCCTGGGAAGGAGACAGCATGTGCAAGGTGACTGAGGTGAAGGCAGGGGAAAGCCACGGGAGAAGGTGGGGAGGGGTGGCGTAGGAGGCAGTAATCTGATTCCAGCAGTGATCAGGATGGATAAGAAGAATCCAGCCACCTCAGATAGGGCTTTCCAAGGGCAGGGGAAGTACGTTTGGGGGTAAGGGACCATGTGGCCATTCTGACCTCCACTCCTGACCCTAGAACCATGGAACCCAAAGAAATACCTGCTGTGCCCTGCTGCTCCTCTGACTCCGAATGCACCACAGGGCATGAGACTGGAGCCCCATGGGGGGTTGATCTTGGCCCCAGAAGAGCTATAGGTCACTGTGACCGCTGCCACAACCATGGCATCACTACCCAAATCCGGGGCCACAAGCATTTCTGCCTCTTCCAGGACTGCAAGTGTCACAAATGTGCCCTCCTCTCGTGAGTATGGTGTCTGAGATGGCGAGGGGTGAGGCCTCCTCTAAATGTGACTAACCTTAGACCTGCAATCCTCCACTTTAGGGAACACCACATGGTCCTACCTGCTGTGAGTGACTGGAAGAGGGAGCAGCGGGCACAGATAAAGAGGCACCTGGCTCAAGCACTGATAAGGAGTATGGCTGCCGCTCCCAAAGCTCACATCCGTGTCAAGAATTTGGCCATCAAAGCAGGAGTCCTCAGTGAGTGTCTCTGGCCAGGGAGGGAGCCTCCGTTTGGGTGGAGGAAAAACGAGCATTTCCGTCATCAATCCTGTCACCACCAAATTGCAGTGTGGCCTGGGGCAAGTTACTCCCAGGACCTTCGTTTTCCCAAGTGTAAAATATCATCAATGTTATCTGTGTAAGAAGAAGTAATGTCGGGAGGGTGTAAAAAAGGCCCATGATGAGATGAGACTTCAGATTGGGGGTGGGCTGAGGTGGGGTGAGGACAGGGGAAAGGCTCACCAGAGCTTCCCCTGGTATTTCACAGCGGAGAAGGAGAACAACGTGCTGCAACCCGAGACCCACATCTGTACATCCCCAGAGGAGGTAAAGGGGAGTCGGTGGCCAGTGGGCAAGGCTCCCACTCAGCCACTGCTGCGACCCCCTTCACTGAGTCCCAAGGACACAGGTTCCACCTCCAACCCTTCCACCAACTTGTCATGTAACCTTGGGAAAGATCACTTCTCTTCCCTGGGCCCCAATTTCCCCTGTGCAAAATGAAAGTTAAGACTTGCTGGTCTTCAAGGTCTTCAGAGCTCTGGCATCTAGGCCCCTATCTTCATCTCAAAGCATATCCACACCTCCTCTCTCCGTGGCCTCCTGGGTACTTGGCTTTAACCTGTGCTCTCTGCCCCTGCAGAAGAGCTCCCAAGGGGCTCTGCTGCTCGGCCTGCCCCCAGAACCTTTGTCTCTGACCTGCACTTCAGCGACTTTGGAGCAGCAATTGATGGTTTCCTCTTCCGAGGAGCCCCAGGGGCCTCTTGCCCCGTCTGGCAGGTGAGTAGAGTGGGGACCATGGAGCTGGTAGTGTTTTGTGTTCCCAACCTTATGCTTGATGCCATGGGAGGGAGCAGGAGGAGGAGGAGGAGGAAAAGGGGAAGGAGAAGGCAGCATCTAAGACTAATGGGCAAAGGCAGGGCTCTTCCAGGTTTGCCACTTCCCATTTGTGAAACTTTGGACAAGTGACTTGACGTGTCTGAGCCTCCATTTCTCTAAGGGTGTACTGGGGGCAGTATTCTATACCTGTAGCATTGGAAAGAGGACTCGCACAAGGCCTGCCACACAGTAGGACTTCAACAAGTGGGGGTTGTTATTTCACATGAAACAGATGGACGGGATAGAAGGTCCTGCTAAAAAGTGGGGACCATGATAGTGAGTACCACAGAGGCCCAGGGGAAAGTCCAGAGGCCATCAGAGAAAGCTTTCTGAAGACGAGCCAAGCTTGTCCTTCAAGACCCATGGGGATTTGGCAATATGGAGGCGAGAACCAGTCTCCAAACAAGGACAGTAATCACGTCTCTCCTGGTGATCTGCAAATCAAAATGCAGACACCTGTGAATTCCCCCAGTCTTCGCTGTTGCCCTGGGGGGGGGGGGGAGAAGCTGGCAGGAATCAGTGTCTCGGGAAAGAGAGAGAAAAAAAGAGGCATGGAAAAGAAATCGGGCCAAGCAGGAGAAGGGACTTGCCTCAGCTACAACTATTAATGGTCCAGTAGGCATTGGGATTCACACATCCAGATATTGCAAACCCCTTTCTCTGTCTACTGGTAGTATGTGTCTTCCAGAGGACTTAATCCCCTGGCCTCTCCTCTCCTTTTTTCTAGATACTCAGCTCCGGTCCTCCAGCCCTGTGCCACCCTTGATCCTCTTCTACTGCAGCCAAAGGTCCTGGGAAAGTAGTGGGCTCCAGAACCCTGGGAGAGGTGGAGTTTAGTGCATGGGAAGAGCAGAAGGCCTCGGGGGTAGGGGGTCTCCAGGGAACTGGGGGCTGAAGGGGCACTTGTCGCATTGGGAGGAGGTATGGTTTCCCAGTGCCCATTCTCTCATATTCTTTCCTTTGCAGGCCCCCAAAGTCTCTGACCAGCCTTTGGTTTCTGCCTCCTCAGAGTGGCAGCGAAAGCTGGAGGCTGCAGAGGCTCTGCTGACTCTGAGAGACTCTTTCCAGGCCGCTTCTGACTCCATCTCCTTGCACCAGCCCTGTGGCCCACTAGGTAGCCTGCTCCTTAAAAGGAGAACCCTAGGTGGGGATAGCTGGGAAATGGGGCATGTTGTGGTAAGCAGGTTCTAACGGAAACACCAAAGTTGGTGAGTTGAAACTCCCTGGGGCCAGGCACTCAAGCTCTTCAGTCTGACTCCCGAGATGGCTGTTGAGGGCTGTTTGAGGAATCTTCAGTTTATCGAGCTTTGTGCACATCAGCAAATGTCCGGTGCCCTGATGTCAAGAAACAAGGAACTCGAGGCCCCGAGAATGGCAGGGACCTGCCCCAAGGCATGCAGTATATCAAGTGGATGAACCAGGCCTCCTGACTCCCAGCCCAGAGCTTTCTGCTCAGACCCCTGACTCTGCTGTGGTCTGGGGAGAACATACAGAGGTGGTAAGGGCCTGGTCTGGGAGGAAGTCTGATCCCTGCCTCCTGGGAGCTTTCAGTCTAGCTGTGGAGCCTGGGATGCCTTGGTAAGCTGTGTTTTATGGCTAAATCTCAATGACATGCCCCAAGAGGAAGGGCTGGAGGAGCTCTGAGGAGAGATAAACACCTGGGGAGGCTGAGTGGGAAGGCTGGGCATTCCTGGGCCAAAGTGCTGGATGGGGCGTAGTGTGTGAGTGAAGGAACAACCCTGGAGGAACTGCTGGAACCCAAGGGGTCGAGGCTGGAGAGGTTACTAATCACAGAGATTCAGCAGGTTAGGCTTAGGAAGCTAGACCGGTAGACCAGAACCTGTGAGTGGCGAGGAGCCAGGGAATGCTTCTTCTGAGCTATGGAGGAGCATTTTCAGAGACCCTGGGATTCACACACACACACACACACACACACACACACACACACACACACACACTCACGATGCGGTGGCTGTGGTGAGGGATTGGGGAAAGGCTAGACTGGAGATGGGGAGATCAGAGAGGAAGAGGTCTATGTGATAGTACAGGTGACAAATCTTGGGTTGGGCGGGACATTAAAAGAAAGGAGAGCTGAAAGGGGACATCGATGTGACCTGGCTCTGGCCCCTTCCTTTCTGTCTACAGCTCTTACTGGAGATAAAGGACTCCAGCCCCCCAGCTCCTCTGTCTGCCCCAGGCCAGTCAGCTCCGTCTCGCTGCCTATTGGACATCTCGGGTGCATCTCCCTCTTGAGCTAGGAGCCCAGAGGAAGAGGCCTCAATAGAGCACTGCCTGATTGGTATCCTGTTTCTGAATGTGCACAATGGTTAATGTCCAAAATGCTTAACATCTCTTTTTTTAAGTCCTTGGGTGTTTTATAAACTTTCAGACCCTTTTTATTATATGGGGGAATTTCTTGACCGAGAGTGTGTATTCTTGTACCTCTATCCCTTATCTCTTTGGATGTTGGGGCCTTTTTATGTCTCTTATAAAGATAGGATTGTACAATCTAAGTTGATTAGTCACCGAATGGGGTTCTGTGTGAGTTCATATGCCAGAGTTTTCATTTGTCTCATGATTGCAGACATACCTATGCACTCACGTACGTATCCATGCATGGGAAAACATGAGGATGTTTTCACTTTGTGTCTGGGTTTGTGTATGTGAACAAATAATAAATCCGTGTTGCTGAATGGCACTGTGATATACGAGTTGTTTGTTACCACGGTATAACCTAGACTATCCTGGCTCTGACAGACTTGTTCAATTCATGTTTCAAAGTGAGAATCCCTTACTCAATAGGTAGGATTTTTAAAAAAAACATGGCCAGATTAGAAAAATAGTAGAGAAAAAAGAGTAGGGTATTTATTCATTGCGCAATTAAGTTCCTACCCTTTGCCTGGGATGATAGACTGTTTCCAGTCATCCAGAGGGCCACAAGTCGCAATGCATGTAGGACCAAGCTGATTATGTAAATGAATAGAGCAGGTCTGATGGGCTCTGGCCAAAAAGATAGTGAATGCTTTACTTAAGGGGTCAGCTGCTGCTTGGCTCTAGGCAACTGTGGACATGTAGGGATGTAGACTCATGGTGGCCAAATCGACTTTTTTTCAAGAGAAGAGGAATTTCTAGATTTCTATGTAAAATTACCCAACTTACAAATGTTAGCTCAAGTTTTCTATTTTAAGCCCTATAGTGGGCCAAACCAAACATGAATGAAGGACAACTTTGTCCAATGGACTGCCAGTTTTATTCTAGTCCAATGTGAATTTTACGGTAGGGGAAACTGAGGCTAATCTGGACAAGAAAAATAAAAGAGGAGAAATGAATTACACTCAGACCTTATTTTGGAAGGACCTATGGAATATGAGGAAGCATCATTACCTTTTATTTATCTCATGCTCACTGTACTGAGCTCATTCAACCTCACAGCAACTCTGCAAGCAAAGCATTATTATTGCCATGTTACCTGTGAGGATACACATTCAAAGAGTGAAAATGATCACCTGTGAGGGTACACAGTCAAAGAGTGAAAATGAGTTGCAAAAGTGTATATTTTGGGGGAAATTTTAACCCCCAAATTAGAGAACATTCCCTTGTCTTTATCAGGCCCCTGATTATCCAATAATTCCTTTTCTTTCTTTTTTTTTTCTACAAAGCATTGAATAAAAGGTTCAAAACTCAAAGTAGTGGACATCAGTCAGAAGCGATTTTCGAAAGTAGTCCCTTTATTTGTTACTCAGAGTAACAATATGGAGGTAGTCACTGATCAGATCTTTTTTATCTGTACTGGTTTCTCAGCCCTCCAATGTTCTAAACAAATGAAGAACTGGAGCCTTCTCCCTGCTCCCCTCCCTGGTCCCACACCACCATCACCAACACATCCAGGCAGGGAGAAAGCTCAACTTCACATCCCCGAATATGGACTCTTTCCTATGCTGCTATCTCCCTCCTTCCTTCCCTCCTTTTATTTTGCTCAAGATGATTGATTGCGCTGCCATTCAATTACTATTAGTCCTTTCTATTTTGAGGCCTTGAGAAGTCAGGGTTCTTATATTCTCCATCTGATGGCAGAGAAACAAACAGGCAAATTCACTCAAGGCTTGGAGCAACACTGAAGTCCATCTCCTTCTTCCCTCCTTCCTCCCTCCTCCCTTCCTTCCCTCTCTCCCTCCTTCCTTCCTTCCTTCCTTCCTTCCTTCCTTCCTTCCTTCCTTCCTTCCTTCCTTCCCTGATTTGGAACTTAAATAAGTGATTCCAAAGCCCATCTTCTCTCAGTGACACATGAACAAATCCACATATTCCTGGAGGAAGGAAGCAGAAGTACCTGGAAAGGAACTAAGACCCTGCTATGAAATAGTGTTCTAGGCACACCACAGTTTCACAGTGTGTTGGGATAAAGAGAAAGTATATTTTGGTTAAGGGATGTGGCACGAGAAGAGGAAAGGAAAAAGCAATAAAGTGATGTATGTTTGGGGAAGGAGTGAGGCCCTTTTCCTTGTGCCCTTTGTCTGAGGCCACTGCTATTTCCACGCAGGGCTATTCTGATGTGACACTGGACACACACACACACACACACACACACACACACACACACACACACACCCAGTAATGTGCAGGTAAAGTTTAGCGACTGGCTCTTAGGGGGAAGGAGGGGTGGGTAAAATGCCCTAGGTTGTCACATTTGCAGATTTCAACATACCAAAGTGATGTCAATGAATGCAAAGTTGGGAAGAGATGTGTTTCCACCATCTGCATACAATAAATATAAATAAACACTGTAACACAGATATTAGTAACATGTAAAAAAAAAACCCTAGAGATTGATTATCTTCAAGGGTGTAGTATGTTGGTTTTAAATATAATGGATATGAGTGTTGGTTTATAAAATTTAGATTTTTAATAATGGTTGTTTTTAACAGCTGGCTCACAAAAGTGCTGAAAATCTAACAGTGAGCTCTTACGTTCTAGTGAGAGCCAGCTCAGCACTCCACAGCTTTCATCCCTTGGTCAGGAAGATTCCTCTTCTTTTTTGCGGGTGGGGGGAGTGCGAGTCTCACTCTGTCGCCCAGGCTGGAGTGCAGTGGCACGCTCACGGCCACCGTAGCCTCGACCTGCTGGGCTCAGGTGATCCTTCTGCCTCAGCCTTCCGAGTAGCTGGAACTACAGGCGTGTGCCG